ACTTATCAGGTAATTTACAAAGATCGGGACAGCAAGAACTAAAACCTAGTCCTTGAGCTTCAAGGAGACAAACCTCTCCCAAGTCAGTCCAAAGAAAGCTTTCATACACTTCAGCAGTAGGGTGTTCTCTGTTGGTTCTAATCAGATTTCCTAAAGGCTTAGGGTTGGACTTTCAAGTGTGAAGCTTAATTGCTGAAAGTATTCAGGAGCTCCCATCCTCCTGATCACCTTGGAAACTTGCAGTTCTTTTTAAAATTATGGCCTAATCAAGGCTGTGCATAGCTGTGGCACAATGCAGGGCCAATGGGACATGTGTGAAAAGGGCTACAGCCCTGTTAGCAATCAAAACTGACTCACCTCATCACTTCTGGTGGCTTGCAGCCTGAAAGTTTCTGCCAGGATTCAGGGCTGCATAAATGCAGGAGAAGATACAAGAGAGACAGTAAAAATATAAAAGAAATCTTACCAAGAACAAATGCCGAGGGTGCCTGGTTTTGCCAGAGACTTTCATCAGCGTTCCCTCTTTAACAAAGATCTAAAGGAGAAAACAGCAGGTTGTGATCCTGAGACTTCTCATTCTGAATCTTACTGAGAAAAGAGAATATTCCTCCTGGGGAAAGAGCTACTCTACCTGCTTTCATCAGCACAGGAAGAGAGAGATGCCTCAACCCGTGCTTGTAGTCTTACTCCTTATGATCTGGCTTAATCTTTGCTTGAGTTAGCCCTGCTGCTCTTCGTGGCTTGCATTTGTATCAGAACCAAAGTGGAAACCCACTTGTCCTCAGCCCACTGCTTCTGCACCATAAGCTGTGCTCAGAGGTGACTGTCACAGATTGCAAAGCTAATATGTAATGGGCTGCAGAAAAGAACTCGTCTTTAAAAATCCTCTAAAATAGACCAAAAAGAAAAGCTGAAACCTCAGGTTCCAACACGCTACATCCACATAACTGTGCCTGCGTACGTAATCTGTATCTGTTTGCAAACACAATACTTTTTTGGTCCATATTGTTACTGTGTGTGAAGATAGGACTATGTATGTAAGCGTCTAAACAAGCATACTAGAACTTGATTGCAATAACATTTGAAAAGGTCTAGAATAACTGAACTACATCAGTGGATTAACAGTCATCTACTCTTTTCAGACTGAGAACAGATCTGGTGTAGTTTTCCACTCTAGATCAATTTATAGTTGAAGAGACCAGTCCCACAAATTCTGTCGGCTGGGCTTTGGAGAATTTGTTAAAGCATTACCTGGCAAGGGCAAGTGAGAATACTGATGTTAGAGAAAAAATAGAGGTTGACTGCGATATTTGGCTGATCAGGATTCTTACGCTCAAAGTATGCATGCTTTGAAAATTGCTTCATGAGTTTTGCTAAAGATACTGGTGGACTGAAAGGGAAATTAGAGTAACTCAAGAAATAAAGCCTTTGAAGTGTAGAGGCAGGTTGGAGCTGCGGAAACTGGACAGGTTTGAAAGCCAGGAGAAGAAATTTGCATTTGATGTGGATGGCAAGACAGAGTCATACTCTCTCCCACGTTTCTGTTGATGTGTTGCTTAAAAATGATGTCTTGCATTACAAGCACCACTGGGGAATGGTGAGAATAAAAATTTGAAAACAAATCACTTCCTCTGATTTAAGGCCCTTTGCCAGCCTTCAAGTGATCCCTGCTGGTGTTGCAACCTTTCAACAGGAGTATATAGGGAGGAAAACAGCCATTACACACTATACATAGGGTGGCTGAGGGCAACTGGAGTGAAAAGTCAAATGGCTGCTCTGTGTAAAAGCAGGGGCAATGCATGTCTTTCCCAGGCTGAGGCTCTCCGCACATCTCTGCACACTGCCAGAGTGATGCCTTTTGACATGAACCAGTGCTCCAGCTCTTATCAGAGTAGGTCGGTAAACAACACCTGTAGACATATGAAATCTGGCCATCCACAGAATCAGAGATATATCTGACGGGAAACAATGCCCTTATCCGCATGGGTCTGGCGGCAGCACTCACCCTTCCTGGCTGGAGGAGACCGCTCTGCCCTCTCACACTGTGCTCAATGTGTACCAACTTCTGCAAGTTTTCCTGGGGGAGAGAAACAGTGTTTAGGGACTGCGTGGTGCCTTCTTCAGACAAGCAGGCAAACCTTACCTCACCCCTCCCCGCCATTTTATTTCTCTAAAAGTGGTGTTACAGAATTAGGTTTGAGAGAGAACTGAGCCTGGGGATTTTATGCCCAGAAAGTCTTCTTCCAGCCTTACAGGTTTTATAAAACCTCCTCACCTGCATTTATATCTGCTATGGCCTTCTACACTCCTGTTACCTGTGATACCTCCGTTCACATTCCAGAGGGCCTGCTAACACTGTACGGTATTTATACATTGGCCTCTTTGCTGACTTTCTTGCTGTGGGAGCTAATAAACCGACAAAGTACAGCATCTGCTCCAAAGGCCTGTGCATTAGTGGTGTGACACGGATAATCCAAAGCATGCTTTGATACTATAAAGACTGTTGCTAGGATTATCCGGAGGTTTATATTCTGTGATAAATGATTAATGCCTTTGCAATAGGGGATTTAGAAGGTTAACTAGAAAGCATGCAATGAAGCTGCATCTCTCTTTTGATGCTTTGCAAAGATCAGGAAGTTTATTATCAAACTTTGATACTATTAACTGCCTACCTGGCCTTAAAGCTCAGTCAGTCAGTGGGCACTGGCATGTGGCATGAACTTATCTGTGAAGATGGTAAATAAGATTAATCTAGCTAAGCCTGTGCTCTCATAAAAGAAGACAGTATTGGGTGAATATACAAAGGAGGAAGAAGGGTTGTCTGTACCATTGCAATATTGCTAGAGTCTTTTCAAATCTCCTTCCACTTAGCAAGTAAGGCTGCTAAAACCGAGGCTTGTACATAGGATTCAGCTGTGGTTTTATCTGGTCAGAACAGTAGAATGGGCTGCACAGCACCAATGAGTCATCACTGGAATATGTCTAAAAATTAGGAATCACTTGTCTAAGTTAGCCATTGTCTCCTAATTCCTCAGTTACATGCCCATATATACTGAAGACTAGGGACCATATTTGATATAATTTCATGACCTGGCAGCCTTTGACTACAGTTTTCTGCTATGACAGATAACGGTCTGTTTTCCTATGCTTCATTGACTGGCATTAAGATACCCCTGGGCTTAGTTAGACTTGATTAGATTATACAGTGTGTCTGCCTGATACAAATCAGTGCTGTCTATGGAATCAGCTAATTAAGAAAGCTATCACTGATACCAGAAGGAGCATATCCATATCAGCATGATGATCTGTCAAGGCTAATTTACGCTGCATTTCAGCTAACACAATTAATGTACCTATTTCGCCTTGCTTTTTGAGATAAGCCTGAAATACCTCCGTATGTTACTGCCCTGGTGAACTATTACATTTGTTTAGCATGATACTAAATGTAGTTCTTAATCAGTAACTACATATCAAACATATGGAGACACCTACAAGCCTTGACCAGCACAGGGCTGCATTGTGACCATACAATACAACTGGCAGTTGACACATTTTCAAGAATTTCAGCCACCAAGTATCTCTTTTGCAATGCAGGAAGTAACAAATGGAATTTTTCAGGTCACTTCTAAAATACTATAGGCCAGCAAAATGGAAACAGAATGTATAAACTAATAGTACAGGAAATACCAGGGATCAGGAGACAGCTATCTGCAAAAGACATTTGCAAAGGACTTTCCCATCACTAAAGGGTATTTTAGCCCTAGCAAAACCTGTCAAATTGACAGCTTCCACAATGGAAGCCTGTTCTTCATCTGCAGAAAAGGCAGTGCCCTCCTGTGAGCACACTCATGGCCATGCGAGTACTACAAGGGTTTCTACAAGAGTGCGAGGAGACTTCTGCAGCTCGGATACACCTCAGCTTTTCTTAGGACTGCTGGCAGAGGCGCCTGTTGTAATGCTGACATTTGCAATATGGACACATGTTCACCAGGGAATGGACAAAGATGTATCAAACTCATTTCCTGTAGGAAGTCAAACAGCCATCACATCTGAAAGACAGTGATTTATCTGGGAGTGTGGGCAGCTGAGGGCGTATAGTTTCCCTGCAGTTCCCCTAAAACTCCCTGTTTATATAGTTTGCTTCATTGTCCTTAAAACTGTCATCATTCTCCTTTCAAATATGCTTCACAAGCTACAAATGAAAAATGAAAACAAAGCTCCACCCAACTAGGGCTGCAGATGTGGGTGGCTGAAATCCTTCTCTGGCCATTTCAGCAGTGAACTGCAGCTTCCATCATATTATCATTATGTCTGTGCAGGAGGAATGCCTCCCCAAGGAATTCACCAGCTGCTAATAGCAACAATGATTTATAGCTCTTAGCATCTTAGGGCCTCTAACAGATTGTAGACGTTCACAGAACGATACAAACCCTGCTTAGTTCAGGTAGTGAATGTCTCTTAGAGTTACAGATAGACTTAACGCTATGTGGTATGCCTTATGCCTCTCTTTGCACATCTGTAACTTGCAAATAATATTTTCCTACTTGATGAAAATGCTGGGGATATAGTTAATATCATAATGTGTCTGAAAATCGTGGTTTAATAGTTCCCAGGGAAAAACTGCTACAGTGTTATTATCATAAAACAAAAATGCTAATAGTCTATCATTGATATTCTGCAGAAAATGTAGATCATCATTAAATTCTTCCTGACAGATTTTTGGAGTGTAGTTTGATGAGTTGATAAGTGGCAGGAGAGATCTTCCTCCTTCCAGGTACATGCCAAGTCTAAATTATTGCTTAGAACTTCAACCAGGTACACGACAAGTTATTAATGCTCTATCTGGTCTGGCATTGTTCAGTTTGTTCTGCAATTAGAGTAACTTCTTAAATTCTTTGCATTTTTTTAAATCTGAGAGAAAGAAAAGAACTGCTGGTTGTAGCTTTTGTGGATGGGATATTAATTCAGGAGGACAATCTCTGATTTAGCAGAATGTTGAACTTTGATTCTCATGAACCTGCGCCTTCACAAAACCCACAGCATTCACACAGATGAGAAAGAAGAAAGTGTCTTCCAGGCCACAGTTTTGGAAAAGAGCAGATGTGCTCTGATGATATGATAAAAAATTAAGTGTAGAAATCTGTGTAGAATTTATGTTGAAATTGTTCCAAACCAGACATTAATAATAGCAATTATTATACAGTTGGTGACATCTGTAAAACTCAGACGATATGGTGATGTTCTTCAAATTAAAGCATGACTTAGTGGAGACAGGATCATGGCATGATTATGCAGCACAACAAATTTGATTTTGGCCAGTTATATATACTTCTAATTTCAGAAAAGTATTCATACAAATCTCCCATAAATCTGAGTCAAATATAAGGAAGCACAGATGCCAGGAAAAGATATGTGACCTTGGTCTGTTAGGAGCGGAGCTCTTACGGTTCTCAACCTTTAATACAGGTATCCCTAAAGCTCTGAGATTACTATGGAAGCTTTCCCTGAGGTCTCGGTTTTATGATGAAATATTTATTATTTTGGTACAAAGAATTCTCTAATAACAGGAAAGTATGATTATAAATTCTTTGCCTGAGGACAAAGAAAATCAGAATCAAACCTGTTGAAAACTTTGCTCAGTAAGTCCATAGTTTCAGAGTCATTCTGTAGAGTGGCTAGTTTACATTTCTTTTTATGATAGAACTCTGGGCTTCTTAGACCACACCCTCCCTGCAATCTACATCTGTTCTTTTGTTTTAGTAACAGAATAGTGTTTATGTAGTAATTAACTACTGGTTAGTGCTGTTGATGTTGAACATCACTTAGAATTAGTCTGTATAAACATCATTGTTTCCATGCATCTTGCTTTTCTTTTATGCTTCTTTCTCTCTCCTTTCCTTCTCCTCCTTCACCATTATGTTGGGCTGTAATGCAATTACTATTTCATCTACAAAGACGTTCCTCCCAACTTTTGTCTCCATCCTATCTACTATAATGGCTGATGACAAAGTAGTTTGTGCTGATACCAAAAGTATCTTTAAATAAAGCTTAGAGTAAGCAACTAAAGAGATCAGTGTAGCTGATAGTTCACACTCAGCAAAGGTGTTCAGGCTGTTTGCTTGCTGAAGCAGAGTGTGCTGCTTTGTTTACATGATTCACATTTGGAACTTTTCCTTAGCAATCAGGAGGATTAAAAAAAGTGCGGTCTTTAAAATGGAGGTTTGAAGGTTTTGCGTTGTTGCAGAGCCACATCAACACAGAAAATGGGCTGATGTTATTGTATGAAGGGGGAATATGTTCTGAGGTGGATGTGCCGGGATGGGGTTGAGGGTGGAGGAGCTTGGAGCAGAAAAGCAGAAACGGACTTAAGCCAAATCAATAGGTCCAAGCTTTTTTAAGTTTGCATTCAGTAAAAATGCAGAGTTTTGACTTTAAAAACCTTGAACTTCAGAATGCTCAAAATCTTGATCTGTTGTCATGGCTTGAGATCATCTCTGCACAAAATCAGAAACCCACCATTTGGACTTCATGTTGATCTGTGGTCATTTTGCCACTGGTTTCAGGAGAAGCAGATTCAGACCCTCAGTCTCAATTTCTAGCTAAGGAGACAGATCCACAAAGGCAAGTTTGTCTATTCAGGAAATAGTAAGTAGTTTTAACTGCAACTTATCCCTTTCTGATACAAATATTAGAAGGCTTGGGTTTTCTCTGTTGCTGGCCATGAGGAGATCATCACAGAACTTTGTGCTCTGAAACAGCCCATGAACACATGGGCTCCATTTATGACCTTGGCACACTTATTAGAGACATGGCTTTTAAACCTGCACAGCAGAGATTTCCAGATGTGAGCAAAAGTTGATATTCTTGGCTCTTGGGTTCATTTGGTGCAAGCAGATGCTTCCACTTGTTCTGAACTAAGCATGAAAGCTTCAATTTTAAAAGATGAAGAGTACTTTGAGTTTTGAGAATCTTTCATTTTTACCTCCCAAGCTGTTGCAAAGAACATCCTTCATCTAGTTGAGATCTACTGCGTTTTTACCATGTCACACAGTCTGAATTCACTGCTTCACCCACTGCTTCCATTCCCCTGCAGCCAGAGGGCAAAGGCATTAAAGGGAATATGCTGAGTCAGCAGTCTTTAAAATCCTACCTGAAAACCAGCTCTTACTAAGAAAGGTTAATATTTCGTTTCTTCCTTTTGTCTGCATGAATGCCCAAGTGTTTTTTCTCCTTGTCTCTTAAATTTCGTGTTCTGGTGCCTGAGTGATTATTAACAACCCTCTCTCTGCTCAGTAAATGAAATAATAAAGAAGTGAATTGAATGCCATCATTTTGAACACAAACCACATAATAGTCAACATCTTCCTTAGCAACTGCATGTACTCCTTGGTAATCTAAATGCCTTGAAAAGAAGTGCTGGGAAATGGCAATTTTTGAAATTTTGGGCTGTATTATGACTATCTTGTAGGTCTAACAAGCCTAGAGTTTTATCATAAAAAGAAATGTAATCCGGCCACTCTACAGAATGACTCTGAAACTACAGACTTCCTGAGCAACATTTCATTAGACTGCAAAGACTGTAGATACTTGTTTCTAACTACTTAAGATGAATCCTGGGTCTGTGCAGCTAAAGCAAACATGGAACTCAGGAGACAATTTAGCTGCAGATGGGGGTAGCTAGTATGACAAAAAGAAAGGCACTTCCTTTAGTTACCACCCAATCATGCACAGGTCCACCAAGTTGCATTCCTCTGGAACCTGATGGATCCTGTGTCTGACAGTCTCACTGCTGCCTCCTGTGCCTCCCAGCACTGCTTCTTACTTGTCAGTAGAAAACTACTATCATCTTAGACAAAAATCAGACCTAGACCCTTAGAAACAAATGATCATAAGACCAGCTATAGCACACTATCTTTGCCAGTAAATTAGGACTCTAATATCATGTAAGCGATATTAATAAATCACACTGACCTTCCAGAAACTGTTCTTTACTTTGGAAAACTATGTAACTTATTTAGATACCTAAATCTGAATTTAGATATGAGCTCTAACCTATTAAAGTCTTGGCCAGTCTGTTTGGTTGTGTGATCATTTACAAGACTACAAACGATGACCTATTCTTCTGAAGTAAAATGGGATTCCAGAATTGTGGAAAAATTGTGTAAATGAGTTCAGAATGTATATTTGACAGTACATATGTGATGTCTTCAACATTTCATATCTAAAACCATCCCAGGCTAGAAACAGAATCATGAAAATTCCTGTCTCTCATTCTGTTGCTCCACATACCATTTCAGCAACCCCACATACCATTTCAGCAACCCCAACTTTGTGCTGCTTGCCACAGTGACTTAACATGTTGCACAGCTGCATGACAGGGCATAGACCTACTCCGTATCTGCAATAGTCTGAACCAGATCTGTATAAACCGTTGAGTCTCACCCTGGAGGAGTCTTCAGAATTTAGCAGATATGCATTCACTTCAGCAGATGTGCTGAAAAGACAACATGGATCAGGCGATCACGTGTCATGGTAGGACTCACCGCTTGGAGCATGCTGTCGTTGGCTTGGTCCGTGATTTCAGAAACAATGAATAAGGCAGCTGAGGGATGAAGCAACGCAAACACCATAAATCACACATAAGAGTAGGAAAATAGACCCAATCCTTTCTGTTTGCAAGGGCATCTTTAAAAAAGGAGCATAAAACATCCCCAGCAGCAGCTCCTTTAACTTCTTTGACACGTCAGAATGCAACTGCCCAGCAAATTTAAGACACAGCACAGTGCTGTCAGTTCCCCATCACTGGAAACTGCATCTTACTTGTGGTTACCAAGAGAGCTCATGTGGTACCTTTTAAGCACCTAGCATGGCACAGAATCTTTTTGTGATGTTTTCTGGTCGCAGATTTTTGACAGTTGGAGCTTGTGATAGTAAGAGATTAATGTAATCCGTCTTTAGCCATCCAGAAGCATGGCAATCTAAGGTAATCTGTTTCCCCTTACTGCCAAGGGAGAGGACAGGTCATCGCTTTCTAACAGAAGTGTGTATGAAGTGGTGACATGAATTAACTCCTGGATTCTCCACTGGCAAATAACCTGGGCTAGGGCATGTTTGCTGGCCCTGAGAGCAGTGGCATAACGTGGCTCAGGTCCTAGTCTCTTCCTCTGTGGAACAGGGCATCCTGTCTGGTTTTCGGCGAAGTCTGGGAGCACGCTAGCCATTGCTAGCCAGAAGTGTGACAAGCGTGTGCCAACCACAACCAAGACAGGCAATTGTGGCCACAGGGCTTGAGCATCTGCCCTGGCCTTGTTTAAATTAGTGGTATAGCTATAGTCCCACTGTCAGTGACTACAGTCCTAAATCATGCACGATACTCTGTTCTCAGTCAGAACAGACTGACCTTCAGTCAGTCGCAGACCTTATTGCTATGAATTGGTTTGGATTTACATTCAGTGTAACGGAGATGTGAACTGGTTTCATTAATACAATGTTATTCCTGCTTATGCCAGCCTGGAAGATACTCCCACTGAGGCCACAGCTAAACCTTGCTTTGACTTCAGTGGGAATAAGAGACTTCTGCTTTATCCATCTGGTGTGTTGGAAAGAATGGTATTAGCAGCTGAACATCTGGACTTGTTCTTGATTGTGCAGAACTGATTTTTATGCAATGTCTTTCCAGTTTACTTAGGCTTAAGGAATCCAGAATCCAAATACACAATTCAAACTTCCTGGGTCTCTCCAAAGTTCATAGAGCACAGCAGGCATATCATAGATAATGGTACACAAGCTGGTGGAGCCATCCCAGTTGATTTTAGAATGACCAGGCCAAATATGGACAGAGCCAATGAGGAGTAGAATTTCCCTGATGACTGGGGCAGAACTACAACACCTGCACCATGCTTGTATAGATGGTAACTTCTTCTGTAAGTTCATCATGTCAAAACTATAGGAAGCCCACATGTTTCAATGAAAAAAAAATATGTTTCTTGCCCTAAACTGTCTAAATTAGTTATCAGTTTTTATAGATCTTACATCCAACCTATTGACAAAAAATCTTGAAAATAATCCTCTTCCATATGCTACCAGTATAGATCCTGTACCTCTGCAGAAGCAGAGTTAGCAAAGCAGAATTTTTGTTCTACCCATTTCATTTTACCTTGTGTGGCTTCATACTCTGTAGAATCCGGGCAAAGATTATTCAAGTAATCTGTAGAAAATAATCAGACACAGACATCCAGTAATCAGACTACAGATCCACATAATTTGTAGTGTTATTAACTAAAACATAAAATCCAAATCACAGAATCATAAATGGTTTGGGTTGGAAGGGACCTTAAAGATCATCTAGTCCAACCCCCCTGCTGTGGGCAGGGACATCTTTCATGAGACCTTGTTGCTCAAAGCCCCGCAACCTGACTTGAACACTTCCAGGGATGAGGCATCCACAGGAATGTCCCATATCACTTTATTCCCAGATAATTAAGTGTATATAGCCTCTTTCCAAAGCAAAACTCATTTTTGACTGCATTCTATTTTGAGAATCAATGCAAAAGCATTCATACAGATTTGGACTCATCACATAACTTGGCAGGTATGAAAAATAAACAGAGAGTGACAAAAATATTTCCTTGTTTCTCAGCCAAAAAAATTGCTGAGTAGCACCACTTTACAAATAATTGTTCTTCTAATGAATTCTGTTTTCCAGTCTGAATGAATGATTTTGGCTGTAATGACTGATTTTCTATATTTATAGTAAATTAATTGTATGCATTTTATAGACACAGGAAGGAGACTGGTTCTGTACATGCAGAGTTCAATAATTACTACTAAAAATCACATTCTGAAAATAGATTCTGTAAAATACACACAATATGACTTACATTTACAGGAATTATATTTGCATTATATACAAATCTTTAACCTGTCAGTTTTATTTGGAATACTTGCTTTGGATCATCTGTCTGTTCTTTGTCTGGGTCTTTATGCTTTTAATGACTGTGGTATATGAGTGCCACCATTTTAAAAGCTTAATCCTGAAATACTTCATTCTTATCTTTCTGATGAATCCAGGCTCCTAAATTCTGCATCCAAGAACTAGGTCTCTGTGCTGAGAATGGTGCTGTACATGGATATCCATTCCCGTGAACATTCTGTCCGTGTACATTTCTCTTTCTAGTTCTGGGACTTCCCTGGCATTTGAAACCTACCTGGCTTTGGCATGCATTCAGGAAAGCATCTGCCTGTATTCAGGCAGGCAGGAAGGCGTTGTGCAGTGTTATCCAGCAATATTTAGCATTCCTTTTCACAGCTACAAGCTCTGTCCTTGGCTGTGGAAATTCAACTGAGTGGGCAACTCCTTTTGGCTGTAGTGCAGTAATTGGCAACCAACATTCTCATAAAATACCCTTCCTTATCTGGTAGAAACAGCCAATTAGGAACACACAAATACACCTGCCTATTTTAATTTTTTTTTTTTTACGCTGTCTAGAGAATCTGCAGGACTGCACTGTTCCAGACCCACCCTGTCTTAGCAGGCAAAGAGGAGCTTGGTTTCTTGAGGTGAAGAACTGAAGCAGTAAACCTATTTTCTGGAATATCTTAATCCAGCAGACCTTATCTCACTACACACAAAAGCTTTAATTTTCCCAGTTAGTGCCAGTACCTGGGACAAGAACAAGCTCAAGTTGCTTCAGGCGTAGACAAAACCCAGTCACTGGAGCTGCACTGAAACCCTTCCAGCTCTCTCACAAAATACCATGCTTCATTTTTGCAATTTACCTTGTGGACCACAGAAATGGGCAGAGAAAATGGGGCATAGTGGGGGCATTTCTGACGGAACATGCCAAGTCCTTTTTCATTGATGCAGTATTTATGTGCATGCACTGAAAACAATGTAAGGATCACATGAGACTACTAAATACTGCAACCCACAAGTCTGGAAAGTTGCCCTTAATGTAGACACACCCAGAGAGGGAAGCAAGTCAGACAGAAAAAAAGTCCTACTATTGGCATCCGGTGTTCATTTGTATTGCTCATACTAAAAAAGCAAAACCAGCTGTGAATAATGAGTTGCATCCTTGATCAAAGTGTCTGGAGCAAGATGAAACTGCTGCTAATCTGTGCTGTGAATAAAAATGTCATATGGTCACTTTGTTCTGCTGCATTTATAGGAGTCCCTTCTGATACGCTGTGCCCTTCATTGGCTGTTGAGTGTGGGGAGGGTTTATTGCTTCCTTTTTACTGTCCCATGCATAACCCATCTGGTATCCCTCTCTACCCACACATGTACTCTCAAAGCATTTCTCCATCTTTATGTCTATGGATCCCTGCTCTGCTGTGTTCTGATCTGACTAAATTACTTGATGACACTGAGATTCATTGTTACATTTCACCATTTCCTTCCCCAACCAGTTCACTACTTACATACCTAAACTTCACAGTTCTTTCTAGGGGCCGCATCCTGCTCCAGAAAGTTTGCTCCCCTCACAGGCTCAGACTTGCTAGATTTGCTGTGGCTTGCAGAGAATGAGACATTGGAGGGAACACAACCCCCCTTGGAGACACTCCAGGTGGGAGTGTTGTTACTGTAAATGTAAAATCTGTAAATGTACTGTTAATGTAAATTTGCATCTCTGCCTCCTACAATGCAGAGAAATTGGACCGAGATTTTGACTTAAACTTATCAGTAGCCTTAGGTGTACCATACACAGGGCTTAGGGTGCAGTACTGGGTACAACTGCTTTGTCGATGAAGTAGAAGGAGATGGTGCTTGCCATTGTCATACAGGACACAGTGCAGAGTCCCCTTGCTGGGGACTGCTGTCCTCTACAGTGTCTGATAATTGTCCTTGAAATAAATAAAATCAAACCTGTTTGCTAGCAGTGAGGCTGAACTCTGCCTCTCCTAATTCACAGAAGGAAAAAGCCAAAAAGGATTGGCTAAATGCACCTGACTTTGCACTTTTTTGTGACTTTTCATTATGGTTGTGCTGAAGAATTGCCCTGCTCCTTCCCAGGCTCCCTGACATTTCCTGAATCCTGTACTAAGCATATTGAAGTTCCCAGGAAATCCCACACTGCTTCAGCCTTATTTTAGCTGTCTTGGCATCAACGTGTGGCACAGTGGAGGCACAGAACATCATGGGAGGGTTTCCACTGAGTACCTTTGAGACTGATTTTACTGACCTGTGAGCAGCACATGATACTGGAAGACACGCTGCACCACTTTCAAAAGCTGGTGTTTCACACTCTGAGGGCTGCCACCAGAGCTCTGCTGTCCTCAATGGAAGGGAAAGGAAACACAAAGATCAGGGATGTGTGAGCAAACTGTTGTCTCCACCTGATGTGTGGACTATAAAAGTTTGCTACCAGTTGCATTGAACCATTCCCAATTTACCCAGCTTGCTAGGGGGTATTGTCTTAGTGACTATAAATAAGTACTGTAGACAGTTTATTTCCTATGACATAATTCACAAATAGTTTGGACTCAGAGGCAAAAGGCAGGAAAGCAAATACTATTTTGAAGGTAAAGGATGGATAGATATTTTAGGGTGGCATCTGAAGACAGAGGTGTCAGATATCAATGAAGCTTGTTATCGTTGTTCCTTTTTTGGACAGCAAAGCATCTCCCTGTGATTGAGTTGGAACTGAATGTCCAGAAAGTGTTTACAAGAAAATAAGGTGAGGTTGTGATCTGATTTAAGATACACATGGAAAAGAAGTAGCATTTTTCTCTTTACCTTTACCCTTTAGATTCGATCCATTGCATGTCGTCGCATGTCAGGACTAGTCAGCATGGGTTTATGGAAGGCAAGGAAGCTTGCTGTGTATCTATTAAGTGTCACAACATTGCTGCAAAACCAACAGCAAGCCGCAAAATTCAATCTTCAAAAGTCTACACATCTCCAGAGGCACCAAGAAACAGAAGCTGATAGGAGTAGCACAAAACCCAGCTGGTTCTTTACAAGGTCAGAGTCCAAAACCCAGTCAAGTTTCACAGGGTTTCAGTGTTCATTGTCCAACATTTATGAAGTGTTTGCCACTTGTGAAAGGACAAAAGGAGACCAGGAATCTGTTTAAAGGAAGGCTGGCAAGAGACAGCATATTCCAAGGCAGTGGAGATGTTTCATGTTACTGTATTACTTCTCTAAATGGCTGACTGCTCTCACCAAATGTGCATTCAGGGTTGTGCTGAGCATTTCCAGTCCCCCATACTCAAGTCAAATGTTCCAGAAAGAAGATGAGGCCCTAAATTCTGTGCTGTTAGACTGGAAACTAATAGCAGTCGTGCCTTAAGAAAAATGCGATAGGAAAGGATTGAGAGACACCTCCCCATCATTTGTGTGTGTATGCATGCCTGCAAGAGGGCAAGAAGTTACAGAACTCGCTGATTCTAGGGCAAAATCCTGCTGATCTCATCGTAGAAAAAGCCTCATCTTCCTTCTTAGAAATAAGAGCTAATTCTCAGGATTAATAGTTAAGACAGAAGGTTACAGGCCTATGGCTGGGAGGGATGCTAGGAATACAGGCTTTCAGTAGAAAGCCTGCATTTGTCAAGTTCGTGTTCAGAGCAGTGAGCCATCAGAACTCCCCTTAGCTGCTAACAGGAAATAATTGTGGTGACTGCAAGGTGTCTGTCTGCAAATACTGACTTCCAAATGTCTTTTGAAATTAATTGTTATCCTTAATATTTCACATGTGCTTCAGAGAAGAACACAATCCGTACCCCATAGAGCCAGCATTCTAAATAACCTTTAAGGTCCGATTACTAAATTATGCTTACAGCCCCTCTGCCACCCAAGTAAACATTGTTATTTCTCTTACCAGATAAAGATAATAAGAAACAGGAGTTCCAGACCCACAATAAAGTAGTATGGAATTTAACCATTTTAGCTCAATAGTTAGTGTAGCCAAACTGAACTTTCCCATCCACATATGAGTTGATGCTTTTGAAATTATGTGAAGTGGCCACATTGCCTGTACTTTAAAATGTAATCAGTAATCATGGAATTTCTGTCACGTGTATCTTGATGGTGTTTTTCAGTTATTCAGCACGGATGACTGAGTTAACACAACTGGAAAATACGTGTTTCTTGCTACAGGGCCAGAGCTTACAGGCCTAGAGGTTACAAACCATTCAGGGAGTCTAGATGCAAAGAACCCTGTATGTGTCTGGACAGTGGACTTTGTGTCTTCCTGTGCAGTTCAGTGTTGCCTGTCACAACATCCTCTATAAACAGAGGAAGCAGTTAACAGGCATTTAAAAATGCAGAGAAATGCAGTTGTAAAGATGTTGTGGGTGGATCGATGCCAGCAGCTCAGCACCTGTATAGGGTAATCCTAACTTCATCCTGGCCAGACGCAGTATAAAAGAAAGGATGGAAAATGCAGTGAAAGAAGAGAAGATATGAAGAGATGGTAATAACAGTAGTTACTAACTCTAGCACATCCTCAAAGAGCTTGATAAGTTAATATGTGACTGAGAAAATTCTCCACTGTGTGTATATATTTCAGCAAAATACACTCATAGATCTGTAGATTCATAAACATACATTCTGTATGCACACACAGGCATCTGTGGGCAACAGACACAGACACAGAAACACATCATGCACGTGTGAACATCTCACTTCAGTTTTAGCACCAGGATCTGTGAAGAGAGCTATTCTCCCGTTCTACCCTATGTGAACACTGGTGGAGTTGCAGATAAAATATTTTTTGAGTAAGCCCTATGTACAATCATGCATTAATGCAGGTAAAAAAACATGGGAGACTTACCTCAAACTCCTGAATTATGGTAGCCAGTTGGGAATATTTAAGGCAGGTTTCATCTAGCAAAGCCAAATTCCTATCAAACTGCATAATGTATGCTGTGTGGTGATTCAACCTTGATTTTCTGGAGAGAAAAACATCAGCAACTTTCTGGTGTTCCTCCCTAAGGCAACAGAAAGAAAAGAAGCAGCAAATAAAAAAAAAAATAAAAGAAGAGCCATACTTCTTTCTCGTTGTATTAAACCCACAGTGGCTAAGGACATTTTGCAGCTAAAGCCTAGGTTAAATGGCAGGAAAGAGAGAGTGCTTCACTGACATACTGGACAAAAAAAGGGGTTTCTGTATAATGGGCACCATGAGGGGCTGATCCTTTGGCTGTGCCTCTGCCATGGCAGCACCGTGTGGCTGTAGTGGGTAGAACGTCTCCTTTTTGGACACAGCTTCCATTTCTCTAAGACCCTCCAGCTGCTACAGTGCTTTGAACACTGATTGGGGGGGATAATACAACACCTTCATTTGTAACAAAGAGCTTCTAGCAAAACTCAAATGGAAGAGAAAGGTCTATGGAATGTGGAACAAGGGACAGGCCACTTGGAACGAATGCAGGAACGTTGTCAGAGCATGCAGGGAAGCAACGAGTAAGGCTAAGGCCCATCTGCAATTGAATCTGGCAAGGGATGTCAAAAACAACAAGAAGGGCTTCTTCAACTACATCAGTAGCAAACAGAAGACTAAGGAAAATGTGGGCCCGCTGAAGGTGGAGTTACTGAATGCCTTCTTTGCTTCAGTCTTAAGTGGTAAGGCTTGCCCTCAGCCATCCCAGTCCCTGGAGGTGAGAGAGGAAGCCTGCAGAAAGGATGACCTTCCCTTGGTCGAAGAGGATTGTGTGAGAGATCACTTAAGCAGTCTGGACACCCACAAATCCATGGGCCTTGACGGGATGCACCCACGGGTGCCGAAGGAGCTGGCGGATGCCATTGCTGAGCCACTCTCCATCATCTTTGAAAGGTCCTGGAGAACAGGAGAGGTGCACGAGGACTGGAGGAAAGCCAATGTCACTCCAGTCTTCAGAAAGGGCAAGAAGGAGGACCCAGGGAACTAGAGGCCGGTCAGCCTCACCTGCATCCCTGGAAAGATGATGGAACAGCTCATTCTGGAGATCATCTTTAAGCAAGTGGAGGAAAAGAAGGTTATCAGGAGTAGTCAACATGGATTCACCAAGGGGAAATCCTGCTTGACCAATCTGATAACTTTCTATGATGGCATGACTGGCTGGGTAGATGA